GCTGGCTGGAGAATTCTGGGAGTTAAAGTCCACAAGTCTTAAAGTTGCCAAGGTTGGAGACCTCTGCCCTAAGACATTTATTTTAGCTCTTTTGAAAAATGTGGCTATGTGTTATGTGGCATTTTTGGTGAATATAGATGTAGAAATGTAATTCAGTTCTGCATTTTCCTGGACTTGCTCAATCCTCTTGTCATTTAATTGTTCAGTCTTTTCCCTAGTGAGTTACTGCCCTCCATTCTATTGCCTGTATACTGATTATAATGTTATTGCTGATACTGTTCCTTAAAATCATTTTTATAATTCCTGTTCTGCTCCATTTCTTTAATGGAAATCTGGATTCCTTTTTTCAAACATTTTCTTTTAATTTTTTTCTGACGTAATTTTGTCAATCGTGGAAGTGGCTTCCAGGACAGCTATTTTACCCCTAACATATTATATGCATTCTGTTAGAGTTCCTATTAGCAGCTTTCAGGCATCCTAAAACTTTCTGGAGAATTTTTATCCTTTTGGTTTTTGTCTTTAATCTCTTCCACTACTCCCTTGTAAGCATTCTTTTTTGTTTAACATATAGTATATATATCACTGTTTGGGAAGTCATGTCAGCAGACTGGAACTTCTGAAAGCCCTAAATATTTTTTGACTTTCAAGATTATTTTCATCCATAAAACTGTTTAGATTATCTTGGATATAATTTCAATAATATACTGTATCAACTAACATGGCAAACCATATTCTAGGATCCATTTGATTTTGTTGCTGATTTAATGGAATTGTTTTCCTACTTTTATGAAACACTTTTAAATGAACTAGCTACCCATCTTTGTCACATAGAGACTAAGAAAAATAAGTTAATTTTAACTATGGTTTGCTGAATATTCAGCTGCATAATCAAACAATTTACTTTCTCCATAGACTCTGATTGTCTTGGTACTTCTTGGCTCATTTCATGGCCATGTTTATAATTTGCTTAATGTTTAAAGCCATAAATCCAACATCTAATTGCTACTTTCACTAGGATATACTGTATTTTTATGACCTTTGGTTTTTATTACTTAACCTGGTTTTAGTATTGCTGGTTTCCAAATCCTTTATAACTTAAATGTTATCAATATAGAGAGAATGTTTGAATTATGTTCATCTTTTGATTGCTTTGCCATATTGCTGTCTGTACCTCTATGTATTTTCAAAGAGATTTTGCCTTTTTTATTATGTTTCATAAACACAATAGTATGTTATTAGTGCTATGAATGATGCAAGAGGTACTAAATGATCTTTGGGAATAGCACAGATAATATGAGAAGGTGGTTAATTATTTTATACTCAGTGAAATATGTCAGCTTTATATTTCTTTAAAAGTAATAACTATAGAGCCGTTTTAAGGATCTATTTGTCTTTGAGAATCAGGCCAGGAGAAAGATTCCTAATCTTACCATTTCAAGATTGTTGCCCTCCCCTGAGCTTATTCATTACATTATGTTACCCAAAAGATACCTGTGATGCCTCTGATGCCTAATCTCTTAAATATAACATCACACCAAGAGAAAATGAGTTGTCGTATCTGTTAACACCTCTGTTGCACTATTATGGTGTTTTTAGATTAATTACTGTTTAAAGCTGTAAAAACAGACTTGTTGTATATAATCACAATTCCCAAAGGTTCAGCTTTAAACATCTGCTAATACAACACAAGGATTTCACACAATATGTCAAGCCAGTCAGTTAATTTCTAAAGAGAAAGAACACCGAAAGAGACCCTGATAGGTTTTTATTTCAGGGTTGTGAGGCTGATAAAAGAAACAGCATGGTGGAGAATAAAGTTGCTTGATCCTCTGTTGTGCATTGACTTTCTAGCTAAATCCAGCACTTTGATCTGAGTCTGTGCAATATATACACAATCTTTAAGTAAACTGTTCAGTACCCGTAGTCTACTTCACCAAGCTGAGATCTGCTTCCAAA